GAGAGAGAAACATCGACCAGATGCCTCTTGCGCACCCCCTACTGGGGATGTGCTCACAACCAAAGTACATGCCCTTGACCGGAATCGAACCCGGGACCTTTCAGTCTGCAGGCCATTGCTCTATCCACTGAGCCAAACCAGTTTCGGCTATCTTAGTACTTTTAAGGTTTCTCCCTGTGTTTTCATGGCTTAATACCTCATTTCTTATCACTGAACAGTATTTCATTGCATGGATTTACCACTGGGTGTTTGTGTCTTGAAGGACATCTCACAACTCTAATTCTTGCTCATTATGAATCAAGGGCCTAAAAACGTTGACATGTAGGTTTTTGTGTAAACAAGGTTTCAACAATTAGTCAATGCCAAGGTGTGTGATTGCTGGCTTTTACTACCCTGTTTCCCCGAAAATAAGACAGTGTCTTATATTAATTTTTTCTCCCAAAGTTGCGCTAGGTCTTATTTTCAGGGGATGTCTTATCTTTCCATGTGCTAGGTCTTATTTTCGGAGGATGTCTCATTTTTGGGGAAACAGGGTATATGTAGTAATTAAAGCTGGGACAGTGAAATAGGGAAGGGCTTCGCATAGAAGAATCAATAGGAGAGAGCCTAGGCAGGGCTGCTTTGGCTCCTTAAGAAGTCAAAGAAAGGAGCCAAAACCGGTTTGGCTCAATGGATAGAGCGTCGGCCTGGGGACTGAAGGGATCCGGGTTCGATTCCGGTCAAGGGCATGTACCTTGGTTGCGGGCATATCCCCAGTAGGGGGTGTGCAAGAAGCAGCTGATCGATGACTCTCTCTCATCGATGTTTCTTACTCTCTATCTCTCTCCCTTCCTCTCTGTACAAAATCAATAAAATATATTTAAAAAAAAAAAAAAAAAGAAGTCAAAGAAAGGAGACCTTGGAGACAGGTTCAGGGGTTAGCGCAGGACGAGCTGCTGCTGCCCATTGTTCCCCTGGTTGTAAATCTCGTGGAGTCCCTTGGAGTTTAGGAGATGCATGCCTGCGGGGAAGAGAGGGAAGGGCAAAGTGCAGGCATGCTCCCAGGAGCGAGGGCACCATATTTAGTTTTGACAGAAAGTTCCTGTCCCCCACAACCTAGGTGTGTGTTCTGACTGGGAATCAAACCCGGAACCTTTTGGTGTTCGGGAATATGCTCCAACCAACTAACCCACCCACTAGAGCAGGAGTTTTGATTTTAATAAAGTGAAACTTTTTGTGTGTGTGTGTGTCTTATCTAAAAATGTATCACAAACACAAGGTCACCTAGATTTTCTTATATGTTAAGAAATTATTTTTACTTTTGCATTTTACATTTAGATGTATTATCTATTTTGAGTTAATTGTTGTGCCAAATTTAAGTTCTGTATGTACATTTATTTTTCATGTATGTGGATATCAGTTATGGTTTATTTAAAAGACTTCCTTTTAAAAAACAAAATAAAAATAAATAAATAAATAAATAAATAAATAAATAAATAAATAAATAAATGACTTTCTTTTACTTATATTCTTAACTCATTTGTCAAAGATAAGTTTACTGTGTGTCTATAGGGAACCAGTTGACTTGTATATTCTTCAACCTGGCTATTCCAGGCATTATCTCTGTTACTGTGTTTTTTTCCCCCAATGTTTTACATGGACACTCATGTCAAATGGAAGAAAGACATTTTTGATTTTTGCTCCCCAATCTGTGTACCTTGTATATTCTTTTCTTTAAAAAAAATATTTTTATTGATTCTAGAAAGGAAAGGAGAAGGAGCGAGAGATAGAAACATCAGTGATTAAAGAGAATCTTCAATTGGCTGCCTCCTGCACTCCCCCTCCTGGGGATTGAGCTTGCCACACAGGCATGTGCCCTGACCAGAAATTGAACCATGACCTGGTTCATAGGTTGATGCTCAATTACTGAGCCACTCTAGCCAGGTATATTCTTTTCTTATTACATGGCTAGGGCTTCCAGTACAAGGTTGAGTGGGACAGTGAGAGAAAAACCTTTCCCTTCTCATCTTACTAGAAAAACATCTAGTTTTTCACCATATTAAACTAGAGGCCCAGTGCACAAAATTTGTTTGTGTGTGTGTGTGTGTGAGTGTGTGTGTCCCTCAGCCCAGCCTGCACCCTCTCCAATCTGGGATCCCTCTCAAAATCCAGGACTGCTGGCTCCTAACCGCTCACCTGCTTGCCTGCCTGATTGCCACTAACCACTTCTGCCTGCCCTCCTGATCACCCCCTAAGTACTCCCCTTGCCAGCCTAATTAATGCCTGACTGCTTTCCTGCTGGTCCTCCCCTGCCAACCTGTTCATCCCCAACTGCTCTCCCCTGCAGACCTGGTCACCCCCAACTGCCTTCCTCTGCCGTCCCAGTCGCCCCTAACTGCCCTCACCTGCAGGCCTGGTCACTGTCAACTGCCCTCCCCTGCTGACTATCTTGTGGCGGCCATCTTTGACCACATAGGGTGGCCATCTTGTGTGTTGGAGTGATGGTCAATTTGCATAGTTCCTCTTTATTAAATGGATAGACTATAATCCTATCTAATAAAGAGGGTCTATGCAAATTGACCATCACTCCATCACAAAGATGCCGGTGCCCATAGCCACAAAATGGCAGTGCCCAGTCCTCTCAGCTCCTCTGGAGTCACCCAGTCCCGGGGGTGGCAGCTGCTGAGAGCTGGCCATGTGAGTGGCCTGGCGGAATGCTTGCTTCATCGTTGTGGCAACGAGGTCAGTATTCCACCCCAGCCACAAAGGACCTCTGGGTAATGGGCACAGAACAGCTGGAGTGAACGTTTGCCTCATCGCCCTGGCAATGAGGCAAGCATTCCAGGCCATGAAGGGTCTCTGGGCAGGCTGGGTGCAGAGCAGTGGGGGGGGCGGGGAGGCGGGGGGAGAATGCTTGCGTTGTCACCCTGGCATTGAAGCTAGCATTCTGGCATGGCTGCAGAGGGTCTCTGAGCAGGCTGGGCTCAGAGCGGCTGGGCATAATGTTAGCTTCATCATCGCCACCATGGAGACTCTAACAACAGAGAGGAGGAAGTCCTACCCCACAGGATTAGCCAGAATCGCGTTGGCCAGTTAGCTCTCAGCAGCCTGACAGCCAGGACTTTCATTCACCTGCATCTCAGGTGTGACAGCAGGGAGGTGGGGCTGTGTCTAAAGAGCAACTATTTCTCTCTGCAATGTTGAAGAGAGTGGTTTGATTTTTTACTTCAATCCTCTGATAGATCTAAGAAAAGTTGTTCATTACAAGTGTTTGTTTTGTTTTGATTTGCTTTTTCTACGAGGTCAGTAGTGATGGCTTGTAAGTTCCTTAGATGTCCAAAACAAACTGGAATTCTCTGACTCCAGTTGATGATTGACAGATGACAGCTTTCCAGTCTCATCCCTCCTCATTTCCCTTTGACTCACAACTACACTAAGTGATAAGAGTTCCTTGGTGTTCCTTTCTTTAAAGGTGAAAGGAGATTTGGTCCTCTAAGGTCCTGCTCTCATATGTGAACTATAACTCTAACCCATCCACTAACCTTAATTTTACAAACGGTCCAGGCATCTATATTTTCTTTCTTACACCATCTCATGAATAATAGAGAAGCCTGCCTTGCTTTTTCCACAGGCCTCAATTATGGGAGTACATTCTTTGCAACATGTGGTGTAATCAGCTACGGGATTTGAGATGTGCTCAGGATTTGAGACATTTTGCTGCCTTACTCCACGTGGGAGCTTGGGAATTAGAGAACTTCGGAGTGTACCCTCTAGGGTGGCTGGTCAGGAAACACTTTCTTCTGCAATTTAAAAATGGAGATTGTATGACCCAGCAAGTGTGGCTCAGTGGTTTAGTGTCAACCCAGGAGCCAGGAGGTCATAGTTCAATTCCCGGTCATGACTCATGACTCTATCTCTCTTTCTCCCTCTCTGTCTGTCTCTCTCTCTTTCATCAATAAAAAAATAATATATATATTTAATTTTTTTAATGGAAATTATATGTTCTTTTGAAGGAAAGCACTGCTGAGTTCTTCGATGTTTGTTATGCTCATGGGCAGATTTGCAATCAAACCTCTGTGTATTTCACTGAACGCAGTTGCAGTTGGCATTGGCAACTCTCAGTCTTCCTCAGGGTCAAGAGGGTTCAGGACAATGTTCTATTTCTGCCGCAAAGAGCTCTTCTGGGACATTTGTCACTGTGTGTACCCATGTCTGCCAGAAATTGTCCCCATGCTGCCCTGAGGCACACGAGTACAGGGAATTTGTGGTCTGAGTTAGGTCCTTTACCTAGTGTCTGAACTCTGACTTCCAATTATCTTTATAGCCCATCACATTGGATGGAGAGAGAAAGGCAGAGGCAAAAGCAGTACTTTTTCACAAAAAATATTTTGATTTTGTGAGCTGTGCAATGACTACTTCTAAAGGCCCAGGATACTTTAGGGATGATATAATGGCCAGCTGTACCTTATTAAAAGTCAGATTTCCACTGGTCTCTTAGACTTCTCATGTTCGGTGATGAGAAAAGGGTTCCTGTTCTCCCCCACCCCCCATTAAAATTGTATGCATATCTGACCTCCTGCCTCTTGGAGGGCTCTAAGTGATTGTAATAATAGAGGAGATGAAGAGTTTTTCTCACAAGGTATTGATGGTCTTAAAATGATAATTTTGTTTGATTTGTATAGAATTTCTGTCAACATGCTCTGAACCCTGCCATTAGAGAGAAATAAGATGTAATGTGATCACAGTAAAAATGTGTAAATAATTTCCATGTGTACATCATGCTGTTAAATTTATAAGGAACTATATTCATGTTAACCAATGTCATCCCAATAAATTTAATAAAAATTTATAAGAGGAAGTGGGTTATGGACAGAGAGTAAGTTTCTGTTGATCAAATCATGGCGTAAGTGGTAAGTGTTTAGAAATGATAAAATCATACATAAGCTTCCTATAAATGGAATATGTATGTCATGTGCAGTCAATCTCATACATCCTACTGTAAACTACTTGGGATGTTTTAGGATCCTGTGGCCATTGAAGATGTGGCTGTGAACTTCACTCTGGAGGAGTGGGCTTTACTGGATACTCCACAGAAGAAACTGTATAGAGATGTCATGAAGGAAACCTTCAGGAACCTGGACTCAATAGGTAAGGATGAGGCGACTCATCAGTTATCACTAGAGAACAAATACTTTTTCACCATCTTTTTCCCAAGGTGCAGATTGTGGAAAGGAGGACATTGGTTAAGAAACTAGGCATAGGCCGAAATCGGTTTGGCTCAGTGGTAGAGCATCGGCCTGCGGACTGAAAGGTCCCAGGTTCGATTCCGGTCAAGGGCATGTACCGTGGTTGCGGCCGCATCCCCGTGGCCGGGAGGGGGTGCAAGAGGCAGTTGGTCGATGTTTCTCTCTCATCCACGTTTCTAGCTCTCTACCTCTCTCCCTTCCTCTCTGTAAAAAAAAAAAAAATCAATAATACATATATATATATATATATATATATATATTTTTTTTTTTTTATTTATTTATTTTTTTTTAATGCCAAAACTGGTTTGGCTCAGTGGATAGAGCGTCAATCTGCGGACTGAAAGGTCCAGGTTCGATTCCAGTCAAGGGCATGTACATTGGTTGTGGGCACATCCCCAGTAGGGGGTGTGCAAGAGGCAGCTGGTCGGTGTTACTCTCTCATCAATGTTTCTAGCTCTCTATCCCTCTCCCTTCTTCTCTGTGGAAAATCAATAAAATATATTTTTTTTAAAAAGAAAAGAAAAGAAACTAGGCATAGTCACAGCTAATAATAAAATTAGAATCTAACAATTTTTTATAATGTATTAATATTTTGGAATCATTTTTCTGGGTTTATATTTTAGGCCAAAACTGGGAAGATCATTACATTGAAGATCTGTACAAAAGCCAGGGGAGAAAACTAAGGTGAGTCATATTCACAATAGAAAGTAGCATCTCGCTAAAACTGGTTTGGTTCAGTGGATAGAGCGTCAGCCTGCGGACTCAAGGGTCCCGGGTTCGATTCCGGTCAAGGGCATGTACCTTGGTTGCGGGCACATCCCCAGTATGGGGTGTGCAGGGGGCAACTGATCGATGTTCCTCTCTCATCGATGTTTCTAACTTTCTATCCTCCCTTCCTCTCTGTAAAAAATCAATAAAATATTTTTTTTAAAAACTGATAAGGTGATTCTCATGTGAGAATCCTAGTGTTATGAATTTTTATGAATTTTTTAAAGAAACAAAATAAACAATTCTTACTTCAAATTTAGTTATTCTTAATTTTAACCAGAAATACTTTCTTTATATGTGACATAAATATTCAGTGTTTACAAAATAATTTACTTGGAATCTGTATTAATAAGTCCTATATATTACTGTTTTGGTGAAGTCCTCCGGAAGAACATTCACTATATCCAACTCCAGAGAATTCAGACAAGGCAGGAAATTTACACATTTCATATAAATCCTAATAAATAGTTTGAAAAATGCCATTTAAGAAAATCATTAATAATGTGCTTCTCGGTTTTTTAAGGAGTCAGATGGCAGAAAGTCTCAGTGAAGGTAAAGAGGGCTGTCAACGTGGAGAAAATTCCAGCCTCACCCCAACTCTCAGTCTGAACAAGAAAACTGCGGGAGCGGAGCCACCCAAGTGTGGCATATGTGGGAAAGTCTTCATGCATTATTTTTCCCTTAACATGCATGTCCGAGGCCACACTGGACACAAACCAGATGAGTACCTGAAATGCAGAGAGAGGCCATATAAATGTAAGGTGTGTGGGAAAGCTTATATTTCTTCGAGTTTATTTCAAATACATCAAAGGAAGCACACTGAAGAGAAAACCTATACGTGTAAGGAATGTGGGAAAGCCTTCCGTTTCCTCACATCCTTTCAAATCCATGAAAGGGTTCACACAGGAGAAAAACAATACGAATGTGAGGAATGTGGGAAACCCTTCATGTGGCTCACAAGCTTTCGAAGACACCTGGCCATGCACACTGGATATGGACCTTATAAATGCAAACAGTGTGGAATGGTCTTTCGATATCATCAGGCTTTTCAGACCCATGAAAGAACTCACACAGGAGATAAAGCCTATGAATGTGAGCAATGTGATAAAGCTTTTAATTCTCAACGAGGTTTCCAAATACATCAAAGCTACCACAAAGGAAAGCACCCCTATGTATGTAAACAATGTGGAAAAGTCTTTAGATATCATCATACTCTTCAAGCACATGAAAAGATTCACACAGGAGAGAAACTCTATGAATGTAAGCAGTGTGGTAAAGCTTTCAGTTCTCATCGAGGTTTCCAAGTTCATGAAAGATATCACAAAGGAGAGAAACCCTATGAATGTAAGAAATGTAGCAAAGCTTTCAGTTCTCACCAAGGTTTTGAAATACATGTAAGAAATCACAAGGGGGAGAAACCCTATGAGTGTAAGGAATGTGGTAAAAGTTTCAGTTGTTACCGAGGTTTCCAATTACATGAAAGAAATCACAATGGAGAGAAACCCTATAAATGTGAATGTGGTAAAGCTTTTGTTTATTACTATGCCTTACAATTACACAAATCAACTCATACTGCAGAGAAATCCTATGAATGCAAGGAATGTGGGAAAGTCCTCAGTAATCACAAATGCTTAAAGAGACACGAGAAACTGCACACAGGAGAGAAATCCTATAAATGTAAGCAATGTGGGAAAGCCTTCATGCATCTGTCAGGATTCCGGACACACATGAAAATGCATGCTGGAAATAGACCTTATCAGTGTAAGGAATGTGGGAAGGCTTTCATTTACCCATCAGGTGTTAGAGCACACATGATGCAAGTACATGTTGGAAATAGACCTTATCAATGTAAGGAATGCGGGTTAGCATTTTATTTTCCCAGTACATTACGCAGGCATGAAATGACTCACACTGGAGAGAAACCCTGTGAGTGTAAACAATGTGGTAAAACCTTCAGAGATCACAGTTATTTAAAAATACACGAAAGAAGTCATACTGGAGAAAAACCCTATAAATGTAAGCATTGTGGTAAAGCTTTTATTTCTCAGCTAGGTTTCCAAGTACATGAAAGAAGTCACACTGGAGAGAAACCATATGAATGTGAAGAATGTGGGAAATGCTTCGGTTATCCCAGTTCCTTCCGGAGGCATAAAAAGACTCACAGTAAAAGTCCCGTTGAATGTAAATAGCATAGGAAAGACTTCATTTGATCTACATGCTTACATGTCGGGTGGGGGTAGATATCAATATGAGTAACATGCAAAAGCTCGATGGAAATTAATCCATGTGTAATGAAACAGCTATTATAAACTAGAGGCCTGGGGCACAGAGTTGTGTACCGGTGGGGTCCCTTGGCCTGGCCTATGGGGATCAGGCCAAAACCAGGTATCTGACATCCCCGGAGGCGTCCCAGACTGCGAGAGGGCGGTTCTCAGGTGACACACTCTGGAATCGGGCTCCCTTTTCTGATTCCAGGTGCGTCACCGGAGAGCCGCAGCTGCCAAGTCAGTGCAACTCAGCAGCTCCATGTGTTGAACATCTGTCTCCTGTTGGTCAGTGCTCATCATAGCTGCTGGTCTAAAGGTCAGAGAGTCCCTTAGGCATTTATATAGAAAGATATAAGTATATTGTGTTTATCAAGCCTCCTTAAAGTACATTGTTGAACTATGAATTTCTAATTTTTTAAGCTGAATATTCAGATAACTGTGGCATATCATTCAACAATCCTAATAAATAAGAGATATGCTAATTGACCATCACACCCTCACAAAGATGGTACCCACAGCCAATGAGGGAATATGCTAATTTACTGCCACACCCTCAAAGATGGTGGCGGCCATAGCCACAAGATGGCAGTACCCAGTCCTCTCAGCCCCGTCAGGGCGGCAGGTGTGTGGCAGGGCGGCAGGTGTGTGGCAGGGCTGGGCCCATCCACAGGCGGGTCGGACTGTTCCGCATGCCTTCCTCCAGAGTCCCCCATCCCCCTCAGCCTCCCAGCCTCTCAAGGCATAAGCAAGCCTTGGATGTCTGCTGCCCAGCCAATGTCCAAGGTGTAGGCAAGCCTCAGATGCCAGCTGCCCAGATCTGGCCCAAGATGTAGGCAAATCTTGGATGTGGCTGCCCAGGGCCACCTGAGGCACTGCCAGCAATGGCAGCAGCAGGGGTATGATGGCATCTGCACCTTCCCCTGATCACTAGGTTGCCTCTGGCCCCTGAGGGCTCCTGGACTGAAAGGGAGCAGGCTGGGCTGAGGGTCTCCCCCTCCAGTGCATGAATCTTTATGCACCAGGCCTCCAGTAATATATGAATTTATAGGTAGTGCTTCCCCCCCACCTTTAAATCAGTTAATATTTCCATTTTGAAACCTGTTGGATTCTTAGGTGAAGTATATTTTTAAAGTATTTTTAAAATTATCTTCAGAGAGGAAGAGAGAGAGATAGGGACATCAAAGACCAATCATTGATCAGCTGCCTCATACCCTACACTGGGGATTGAGCCCACAACCCGGGCATGTCCCAATCAAACCTGGGACCATTCAGTCCACAGGCCAACACGCTATCCTCATCAAGGTTTCCAAGTACATAAAAGATATCACAAAGCCAAATTGGCTAGGGTTGAAGAGTATTTTTAATATGCAGTTGGGTTTAATTTTTTCATAATGTAATTGTTGTGTGATAAGGGAATATTGAAAAATGAAAGTTTGGTTTTTGTTGGGATTTTCCTACTGGTTTTGTGACAGTTCCTGGATATCCTTAGTCATTATATATATTCCACATTTCTTAATGAGGAACCTCCTTTTGGGGTACAGGGAGTATAGGAGTCTTTTTTCATGTTCCACATTAATAAACCATTGGAATGCATTTTGTGTTAAGCATATAGCAGTTTCATGTGAATTATTGTTATTGTGTGGATTTCTCGTTGGCAACACCAGGGTGTTGTGAGCTAAAAGGTTGTCAGAGTCAGTGGCAGAATGATTCCCCTTAGTCACAGCTGTCACTTTTATCAGACCTGCTTTCTTAATTATTCCCACAATACTTAAAAATTGGTTTAAATAAGAAAACAAATGACTTTAGAATTTGTTGAAATAAGTCCCTCCATTGGTGTCTTTCTCCCCACACCCCTTAACTACAGAGGCATCCAAGAGTCTCCAAATCTGTGGTGGACACCAATTCCCCAGGGCATTCTCTTCAAGAGACTGTTTTCCTCAGCCCAGGCGGGTATACAGTTAGAGCAGTCACTGCTGGCAACCGACAAAATCCTTTTGTAATGGAGGCCCTCCCAGGCCTTGAGTTAAAGCCTGCAGTCTGCTGCTCCTTTTGCCTTAGGTCAGGAATGCAGGACCCTTGAGTTTTCTAGCTATAGTTCTCATTGAAGAGATACTAGTGCTTACAGCACAGAGCTGGAAATGGTGCCCCTGGTATATCCCACCTAGAAGAGGACGTGTGTTTCCTTAACATGAATGCAGTCTGTTTTGAAGAGGGTAACTTCTAGACATACTGGCCACTTTGGGAATCTTTTGGGAGCACATGAGATTCATATGTTTTATAGACAGTGTGTCTCCACCACACCTGGTGGGGTCCCCTGCATTTTGTCCTTAGATTGAACAGGCCATCCCTGATTAAAGACGGGACACAAGCAGCAGATCTGTTAAACACCAGTCATGTTATTATAGCATTAGAGAACATGAGACTTGCTTCCTTAATTATTCCTACAATACTTAAAAATTGATTTACTTTAAATGAGAAAACAAATGACTAGAATTTGTTGAAATAAGTCACTCCCATAGTGTCTTTCAGACACAGAACTCATTTACACATTTTTTGGCATTAGCCAATATCTAATTGCCTCGTCTTTCCAACAGCAGTAACTCCTTATCCAATGTCACCCCTTTGGCATAATGAACCTGGAGTATCTTGCTTTACAGTAACCAGGTCAAGTAATGGGTGGAAGCCTCAGCCCTCTAAGCAAAGATCACAATAGAACTAGACTCATTATTACATATGATGAGGTCATTTTTAAATGGGATTTTACAGTTCCATAAGTTGCTTTGCAGCCTGTACCAACCCCTCATCCAGAAAGGACCTCAGACCTTCTCATCTCAATCTGGCTTGGGCGTCCCTCCTGTTCAGGACAAGAGAGTGCCTCTATCTGGAAACTGAGTCTGGAATTTCCAGCGCACACATGGTCCCGCTTTCGGGAAGAGCAACTGGAAGACACTGCATGGTTTTTATAGCATCTAGGTTAACTCACCTTGGAAATGCCAGAAGTGGGGTGTTAACCCTCAAAAGAGCACATAATATTGTTAACTCTATAATTCAATCCCTGCCTTTCTTCAATCTTCCTTACATCCCCTTCTTAATTTCAAATGCATTTAAAAAAAACAAACTGTAAAACTGTTACTCTCAGGAACATTTGAGATCTTGTTCCATGGCTATGTCATCATTTTGACTCAAACTCATAAAAATTCTCCCTGGGTTTGGACATTTCTTAGGTTTATACAGCATCACATTGCAGGTGTTAAACTGTGTTTCCCTTTTTCTTTCCTTGGGTGTTGCGGTTTGTTTCTGAGGGCTATTCATTACTTTTGGGTGATTTCAAATAAAATCCCAGGGCTTAGACTTGCAACACGTATTTAAGTATAATCAGTTGTTTACAGAACAATTTCTAAGCATGGAACTAATAATGAATTACCATTATTTTCTGAAAGCAGTAGATAGTTGAGGGTTTGCTTGTTGAGTTAGCAAAAAGTTTGCTTATAATTATTTTCCCTCCTTTACACATAAATACTGGGTTTAATTAAGTGCTTTTGCCAAATTGTTCAAACACTGGGTGTATGTGGTCCTTAAAATATAGATGGTGGTTCAGAGCAGCTCCACTGGGAAGCAGAGCCTCAGGTCAGTGACACGAAGCTAAGATTTCTGCTACCACCACATACACACACCTTGAGCCTGCAAAGGGAAGTACTTAAAGGCCCAGTTAGGCCAAAATCGGTTTTGCTCAGTGGATAAGAGTGTCGGTCTGCGGACTGAAAAGTCCCAGGTGTGATTCCGGTCAAGGGCATGTATAATACATTGGTTGCAGGCCCATCCCCGGTAGGGAGTGTGCAGGAGGCAGTTGGTCAATGTTTCTCTCTCATCGATGTTTCTATCTCTCTCCCTTTCTCTCTGTGGAAAATCAATAAAATGTATTTTAAAAATAAAAAAGGCCCAGTTATTCTTCCAGAAGCACCCACCCTGCTCTCTCCAAAGACCTCTATTATGCAGTTGTAAGCCTGTCCCTGTCTACCCTCTGGGCCACACTAGAATCAGTCTCAACATGAGGACCACACCTCTGCAGGTAGAGGTAACATTTGGGTATGTAGACAACATGTCCCCACATGACCACCAATATGCATTTGTCTCTTGCTTTAACTTGCTCACCTCTTCTGCTGCCTGCTGCCTGTGCTGTGGCTGCTGGGCTCTGGGGGCTGGTGCTGTGAGCTGTGCCGTCCCGTGTGGCATTGCTGAGCCGGCCACGCCTCAGTTCTATGTGCCGCCGACCAGAGTGGGCAGTTTTGAGTATTCTAGACACTTGGAAGCAGGAGTGTAGGGTTGAGACCCTCCTTAACGTGGTCCTGGGTTGTTGCCTTTGCTGGGATTCATCTGAGTGTTAGAGGGAAGCTGTGATAGAGGCTGGGTTGGCCCCAACATGCCCTGGAGTCAGGGGTCGAGGGAAAGACTACAACCTGTGGGAGAGGTGAGTCCATCTCATGGTCACTCCTGAAACATCAGTTACTTACAAAGAGGAAGAGAGGGTAAAAGGTAGTCAGTAGGTAGCCAACCGAGTCCACCCCCTACCCTCACCACCATCCGTAAGTACGTCGCTGTGACTGATCCTGCCTCTACTGCAACATAGAACCTGCCCTTGGGGTTAAGGAGACACCCATGGCACCCTGCAGCACAGCCAAGGGATTAGTTCAAACCTGATTTCAGCTTAGACCTTGAACTCTATAATGTAGCAACCAGTTATGGTGGAAAGGCTTCTAAACCTGACAGTGCAGCCAAAACTGGTTTGGCTCAGTGGATAGAGCATCGGCCTGCAGACCCAAGGGTCCCAGGTTCAATTCCGATCAAGGGCATGTACCGGGGTTGCAGGCACATCCCCAGTGGGGGGTGTGCAGGAGGCAGCTGGTCAATAAAATATATTAAAA